TGCAGTCACTTTGGTGATGACAGAATCGGTTGTTTTTACGAATCTACTGGTTCAAAAATCTTCTGATCCAAAACAACTGACATTCCCATTATTCTCAACTGTAATTTGGGTTTGCAAATGCTAGCAACATGCGAAACTAAGACGGGAACTGTGGCAAACATACGAGCATAAGATCAGCGTGTCGGCACCAAAATACAGCCGATGTTGCTTCTTTTGAAATTCAGGTTTTTGTTTCTTGCCCTCCTCTGTTGCTATGCTATTAAACCAGGCGTCTAACATTCATCACTTTGCCCTTTTCTCAAAGTTCATCTTGTCATGTTTTCGTCAGCTGGTGGCATCCGCCGTTTGATATCGGAGATCTCTTCCCAGATAACAGAACCCCAAAGGTTGTGTAACCCGCTACATGTAGATAACAAAGTAGGCCAGCGCTGCTTTAAAATGCTTTACAGCCTCGCAGACATTCTGGTTCCACTTAAATGATGCAACAGTCTATTATACACAGCTTAGGGTCTGACATGTCTACTGTTAAAAATGCATGTAAACAGCACTTAGGGCTACGTCAGGTCTGCGGGCTCCGTGATTGGTTGACGCAACAGGAAAGCTCAGCAGCGGTTAAAAAAAAATAACAGTCGTCTTTATTTCACTGAAATCCAACAGAAATCCCTTCTATAATCCAACAGACTCCCCAGAGACATCCAACAACTGTAGAGAGGGGAGGGAAAAAAAAAAAAAGAAAGAAAAAACACGCCCGCCCACAGGCTTTAATGCATTGAAAGCATTTGAGGCTGCAGGAAAAAAAGAGCTTTTGGGCAACATGTCTGATTCCAAAATCATAGCTTAAGGATGTAGGGAGGGATTTAGGAGAGGTGAACATTGGTAAGAAGTGCACAACACGGTGGATGGTGTTAAAATAATAATACAGGCTTAATTTGCATGTGTATAGACGCGTCCATGGAAACAAAGAGCTGAAGAGTTTTTGTTGGGGAATGAGACATCCACCTACACAAATGTGAAACTAAAAAACACAACCAGATGTCGGGAGACTCTGCAATCGCTTCCAAAGTAGCGAGCAGGTTTCTGAACATCACAACTACATCTCATTTATAAAATATAACATTTTATAGTACATTTTTAACTCTCTTTTATAAATATAAAGCGGGAAAAAAAAGAAGACTTTGTCTGAGATTCTGAAGCCTCGGTTGCAGGATGATGATGAAATCACAACATACTGTAAAGTGCAAACAGCGAATCATGTGTACAGTGACAGACGGCTTATATGGTGTCGACAAGCTTATTTTTCTGATTTTCACACTTATTTTAAACAGCCAGTGTATATTACACTCAGTTACCCATTATTGTTATTACAGGTACGCAAAACTAAAACAAATCTAATAAAGCAGTTTGACAATAAATCCATAATCATGAAGTCTCCAGTGTTCAGTTTGTTGAATGAGGTGTAGATAAACAGGTTTAGAGAATAAAGTGATTATTATCTGCCTTTAAAACACTAAATGGTATAAAAACACATACAGCCGTGACTCGATAATCCGACACTAAATGTAAAACCTTCTTTTATGTCGGATAGCAAGGCTGTCGGATTGTCAAGACGGAGGTCCAGATACGAGGAGGGCTTGATGCTGGAAGGCTCATTAGTTGTTAATATTTATTGTTCATAGTTGTTATAATAACTAGTAGGGCTGGTCCCAATAGCACTTTCTGCTCTCTGGATATTCAGGCCCAATTAATGATGAATATCTGAATATTCAGTGCGGTCGGGGGACACTTCCACCCCGGGGCAGCGCTCTGACGGGGTGGAAGTGTCCAGAACACACAGGCAGTACTTGGCTGCTGATGCTAGTTTAGTTAGCGCTCACACTTCTGTTTCCACCATCGGTGGCGATGGCGCCACTCCCCCGCCGCCACCTTTGTTTACTTCCGTAAACACTGAGCACGCTCGCTGCGTGTGACGTCGTCGTGTCCTCTTCTGCGCATGCGGGACACTTTTGGGTCGTATGAAGTTCACACAGCAGATCACATACAAGTCGCATTGAACTGCAAATGTGAAGGAACTCACAAAGAAATCCTCATTGAGCATCAAGTCCTGCAGTGTGAACGTAGCCAATCTGTGGGATTGTTCAGTCAGATAATACGCCGTCATCCTGATTGGTGACATTAAATGTCATGTCGGAGTCAGAATCCAAGGCTGTCGCTATGTTCAGGCTGTTTTTATGGGTTCTGTTTGTTTTTCCTAAAAACCTGTCAGATAGCAAAGTTTAGGATTGTTTAGGATTATCGAGTCACGACTGAATATACTTTTATATCAAGTTACTGTTGATTAATCAAGTGGAGAAATTAATTCTGAACAGACAATAAAACAGCAATGATTTTAAAGTAAAATTAGGATAAACTGAAAAACAAAAATCCTGAATTCTTAATGAGTTTAGTCTCCAAAGTGCCATTTTTTAGTTGTTTTTTGTTTTGTTTTGTTTTTTTAATTTTTACATAATCTTAATTCATTCACAACATACCTATTAAGTGCATCAATTTAATTAAGAAAACAAAATAAAAACATATTTTTAGTTCCAAATTCTCCAGAGAAAGTTGTCTGAAGAAAGTGAGGACTA